TATATGTAGGTATAATATATCTATATTATAAAATTTATTAATATAAAATTTTTTATTTTTTTTAAAGTTTGATGATTCGTCGAAGTTGCAATGACAACAAGAGTTCCTAGAAATTAATTGATATAACATCTAAATGTTTAGATTGAACGATAAACTGCTGTCATAGCTTCATGCGTTAAAATGGCGAAACAATAGGTCAATGACGTGATCGCCCGCATTATCGCACCTTCTCGTCCTGAAAGTTTTTATTAATTGTCATATTCCCCTTGTATCATTATAGTCCTTCTGTTGATCCTTTTCGAGATAAAAATGATCAATGAACGTGCATGTTTTGACTGGAAAATAAATATATCACAAGTGAAATAAAATTCAATTGTGTAATGTACAATTATTAAAATATTTATAACTTACAACGATTAAAAAGTGCGGAAGTAGCTTAATTTACAAAGGTAGAACAATAAAAAAAGGAATGTGAGTTCAATTTTAGAATTATATGAAACGTTTTTCTTTATCACAAGTTGCACCATTCCATCAAATTTTTTTATTATAAAACTAATATATTATAAAATTTTAATACATTTTATAATAATTTTATATCAATATTGTTATTTAATTATTATTTATATGGATGTCGCATCTTTTAATGTATCTGCGTAACAAACAATAAATAATCCTGTAGAAATAATTTTTTTCACAGATATTAAACTTATTATTATAGTTTCAAATATATGTTTCTTAATAAAGCAGTTAATAGCAGAGAAATAAATAGATTTAATACATCATAAAAGTTAACAAAAGACAATAAAAATATGAAGAATAAAATAAATTTAAAATGAATAATTTATATCCAAGTTTGGAGGTAATGGAATCGAGCAGGGACAAGATAATACTAAGAAGATGATTGGGGTTGATCGGAGCGATGGGCGATCAGAGTGGAGAGCGCGATGAAATCGGCGCGTATACAAACGCGCGCTAATTACCAGCAACGAAATTAGTGGTTAATATACACGCGTACATGTACGGGGAACGGGGGATGGTTTGATTGGACCAATTCGAGGCAATTCCTGGCGATTGCTGATTTCATTGAGCTTGCGCTTAAGAGTGCTTGGCTCAGTGCTACGCCAACTGTCGACCAACAGAGACATGGATCTCTTCCTCGGGGTAACGAAGGTACCGTATATCTTACGCGATCGATCGATCAACGCGCGAATCTCCCGTTCGCGATTTCGTCCAGTACTGATTTTTTCCACCTCTGGATACTCCATCAAGAGAAGTTCATCGTATATGGGAATGTCGGCTTTCATTCTGCATTCTGCATTTCACAAAAAATGAAAAAAGAAGCGATGAAGAAGAAAACTATCGGAACTGATATTGTAAAATCTCGAGCAGAAAACAAAATTATCATAATATCAAAATGTTAAAATGACTGCAAAATGGGATTATTAAAGTCATCACTTTTTGATTTGTCACTTTAACATCAAAACGACAATATCGTGACTCATTCTGCTTCGTTCGGCTATTGTAAGTCTCTTGAATGTTTTTTTTACACTTCTTGCAAAGATTTTGATGACGGAATGCTGATCGACAGGAAATTTTATACACATATACTTCGCATCGCTGTGCTGCACTTAAAAATTTCAAACGATTAAAAAGATGACATAATCAAAAGAAGAAGAGGAATATAAACACACATTAGGATGTTCGCGATGAGACCGAGGTAAGGAGATATGTGTTACGTACTCTGCATATTAATCTACGCTTTTTTAAACACATAGTTTATTTTATCATATATTGCAAATGAAAGAAAAAAAAGATTAGTTGCTGTAATACAAATTTCTTCAACTCAAAATCGTCCAGATCTTCTAAAGATTCTCGAACTTTTCTCCATATTTCTTCCTCTTAATTTCCGAGTTTATCTCATGTTACGTATTACTTCTAAACGCAATCACAAAGATGTTGGCAAGGTGGAAAATGAACACGTTTACTTCCCACGAAACGGGAGTGATTCTCTTATTTCTATTCCCACGAGCTCCTATAGCGTGTAACCCTCGCACGGATGTTTGTACCTCGTGTCATCTCCACCCCCGTCTTCGCACCAGCAGATCAAGAGACATTTTTTGCACGCAGATCGGAAGGGGGAGAGATAATGGAGAAGAGGGGACAAGTCGCCTACTGACCACTGGGACCTGCTGAGATAGTGGAGCGAGGAGAACGATGGCGCTGAACCATGAGGGGCAGCATCACCGCGCCCGCATGAAGCTGGATTGGCCGGGGCCCCGGGTATGGGGGCGGTCTGGGCCGGCGTGACATGGAAAATATAAGCCTGTGTGAGTGGCGACTGATTAGCCAGAGGCTCGGGACGTAGAGTAGTGGCGAGAGTGTCCCGATAGAGAGAAGAGAGGACGGACGTTCTCTCGTTTCGAGGGAGACATCGGTCGTCGGTTCCGTCCAGTTCTTCCAAGGTCCACCGCGAATAATCGGCCGGCGCATCGCGCGAGTTAACGCCGCTTAAAACTAATCAAAATTAATCATAACCCAGGCAACAATTGATCGCAATTGCCAAGCGCGCGCTCCATTAGGAGCAATCGGGCAATCGGGCGACGCCGATCCTCTTCCTTTTTTTTCTACCGGCGGGAAGTGGAAAGAATCTCGGAAGATCCTCGATGAATAGGCGTGATCGATGCCAAGGTGTGAGACGGTGATCCCGCCGACTCACGGATTTCAATTTAATTTCAAATCAACCGTATAAGTTGACTTCCGAAGATGTAAAATTGATAAAGAAGATCCAGAAAGGAAGCTTTCACGGAAGATAATAGAAGTGATTTGTGACATCCTGCTACGTTGGACTAAGTCGATTAAACTTCGAAAATGGTTGAGATTTTGCAAACTTAAGTTGGGAATTAGAAAATAAGTTGAATTTTTAATAAATTAAATAGTGCAAGATAAACGCGCAATGAAGATAAAGACTGTAACGCGAAAAAAGAAAGAGCTAACGGATTATTAATGATCAATTCAATCCAACATCTCAGAAAAACTTTCCCAGCATCTTATCTTCGGATCGATAGTGACATATTTCTTTGAGACCAAGAAAAATATACTTCATAGAGGAAACGTTGAAATTTTACGAAGCGTGTGTTTCGGTTTGATTCTTTGAAGAAAGAAAAACTTTGAAAAAGTTTCCCGTTTAAGGAATTTACGGAAGAAATTATTAGAAGATGGACGGTGCACCAGCATGGGACGATCCGATTTTCTCGGATTTTGGGACTCGTGGTGGAACCACCGGGGGTCATAGTATCCAGGTGATGCTGAGCTTGCAGACAGGCGGAGGTCATCATGGAAGCGGCGATTTGATGCCGACCGGCGGCGGTCAGCTTCACAAACTGGACTCCTCCAATAGTCCGTCACCGCATCATCAAGCCGCATCACAACATCAGCATCACTTGCAGCAACAGCAGCAGCAGAAAGAGCTCAAAGAGCTTGAGTTGTCCGGCATGTATGCACCGTTGCCACCACAAACCCAGGACGTCACCACTTCAACATCTACCAGCGTCACGCCGACCTCGACGAGTCTCCAGCAGGGCTTGCAACTCGGTAACGCGCTCAAGAGGAAACCGGACGATCCAATCAATGCACTCGCGCCAGGTAACCATGCTTGATAATCTTCTCCATTTTCCTTTCGCCTTTTTCTTTTTGTAATGCGCTTGTCTCCTTTTCTATATAAGACGAAACTTTCTGTTACAGTTTCCTACTTTTATATATAATCTTGTTAAACTTTATGATTAACAAAGACAAACAAATATTAACTTTGCTTTGCAGTCAGTAGCGAAGCGCAGCCAGCCAAGAAGGACTCAAAGAAGAAGACTGATAACAATAACATCAAAAAGAAAAAGACGAGGTACATGCACCCAATAATTGTTCGATCAATGTTATATTTAAATGTCCTTTTTAAATACCTCATAAATTTATTATTAAAATCTCT